AAGAGGCAAAATAATGATAAGCTTGCAATGTCAGGTTCAACAGGAAAGGTTACTTATAAATGAGTTAAGAGACAAAATTTTTATAATTTTTTGTTGGTATAATCTTACATATTATTTAATATAGAATAAAAAATGAGAAGCCAATAAGGAAACAAATTTAGGGGAAAATCAATGGGTAAATTTAGGTTCAAAAAACTAAGCGAATAATGATAAGCTTGCCATGTTAGATTCTACATGAAAGGTAACTTATAAATAATTAGGAGAATAGTTTTTTTATAATTTTTTATATAATATTATATATCATTTAATAATTGGACATTTTCAATCTATGATATTATATACATATACCTATTTAATGATATGTAAAAATTATATCAAAAAAATATATAAAAATATTATTTTTATATGATTACCTTACCAAAGAAGTTGTCTAAATAACTTTATGTTTTATCTAGGGATGATAATTTGTTTTGAAACTAATAGATATTTACGAAATGGAAATTTGAAGAATATTTCATCCCACATGGCAGGTTGGAGGCAATTTTCTCCTGTGACTAATTCAAATTTTTACTTTCTTTATACTATTTTTCATGGATTTTTTGAACTGTATGTATTTGTTGGATTATTGTATGTATTTGCTAAATGCCTAAACTATATGCATTTGCTCATTTCAAATTTCTACTCTCTTTTATTTATTTATCTAGTACTTTTTGATATTGTTTGTGAAATTTTTTTGCATACTTTTCACTTTTGTAGGTTTTTACTTCAATGCACCATGAATTACCCATTATATAACATTATAAAATTTATTTACCTAAAAAAAACAGAGAGATTAATTAAACTCTATAATTTTAATATTTGATGGGACTTTGCATAATGCAAGGACTCCCCATTCCCTTCAGGGATGAAAATGAAGGGCAATTTTTGCCCTCACAAAAAATTCCTTGTGGGTATTCTTGTATCCATTGTTGGTGGGAATGGGGTCTCTGCTTCTGTAGACACCCATTGTCATCCCTAGTTCCATAAAAGAATAGAGCTTGGTGTAGTGCGATCATCCTTTCATTTGTATTTTAGAATTATTTTGTAGTTAATAATTTTATAAACTAATAATTCATTTAAAATATTTTATTAATGTATATCATACATGTGAATTGTGAAAATAATCAAGTATTTATAATTTTTGATTAAAAAACTTTAGTGACTAATATATATTTAATATTATTAAATTTTATATAAATAACAAATTAATTAAACTTACTAAGTTAATTTAAAAATTGACATGCATAATTTATATGAATAAAAATTTTAAAATATTAACTAAAGTATGATATTTTTTAAGATGTCCTCATGCAAATTTCTTTCTCAAAATATATAATTTTTGTTTTTATAAAACAAGAAAATTAAATAAAAAAATTTAAAATGATAGAGATGACACGTTTGCAACTGGAGAAGGCCGTACAACAAAAGCCCAAGAGAAACAAGGGGCTTTGAAGCATTTGGGTCTATGCCTTAAGAAGTCCACTAGATTTTGTCCAATCGGAAAGTCCAAACTCCAAATCCCAATCTCAAAAGTGGTTAGCAACAGTATTTAGTCCAGCAGTACATCAAAAGCCCAGGACAAGCAATGGGTTTGTACCTCTTGGGCCGAGCCTTACGAAGTCCAAAGGCTGGTCCAATCTGAGTTTTCAAATTCCAATCTCCACTTCTCCAGCGACCCAATCTGCCTCTCCTCTCTCTCTAAAAAAATAATCTTGGTTTTTTTTTTTTTTTTTTTTTTTAATGTCTAAAAAATTAATCTTGATTAGTATTGGCTAAACCCCCCAAAAATGGTTTTTCTTTAGCAGAAGAGAAAATAGTACAGTAAGTCTGATTCTAGTCTTTTTATTTAAATTCTAATTACCCTTATTACACTCCAATTAATGAGAACTTGATCTGGCCAAATCAAAATTCTGAAGAATTAGATATTATTATGATTGCCCTTTTTTAATTCGAAACAAATTCAGCTATACAAAATGACAAAGAAAGTATAAATACTGTATAATATGATCCATTGATAGGGGCTTTGAGGATTTGCTATCTAGTTTTGTGAATTGGGGTTATTTACTAATTTGTAGTTTTATCTCTTCGTGATCTTAGATATTTTGTATATACGGGCTTATAAGTACTACTTATACGCATGTAATAATATATTTTAATTAAACTGAAAAGAATATCATCTATTGATACAAATAATGAAAAAAAGAAGGGGAGAAGGTTGTGATGTTAGTGTAATAAGGCCGTCGTGGTTTATGTTGAAAATTTATATTATATGTTGAGAAAGTTGTGAGGGTAATATAATCCAAGTATATATTAAAAAGAATTTTCTTGTTTGAAAAATTAAGTTATGACAATATATTTTATGTTAATATATATTAGATTTATCCATGTTTGTTTATATTGAAAATTTAATTAAAAACTAAAAAATTCTTAGTAATATAATCTATGTGAGTAATCGCACCAGACCTTTCGGATCAAGTGACATCTTGTTATATTGTGGTACACTCTCCCTTTTCTTTGGCGGGTTCGAGCCCGCCTTTGACAACTTGTTCAAAAAATAATAATAATAATTTATGCAAGTAATCTTTCATTTATTATTTATGTTGACAGATAGACCGTTTAGTATAGTTACATACATAAAAAGTATATATCATCTAATAAATCTCTACTTGCATTGTTGATTTTTTTTTTTTTTGGGCTAAAATTGTGCATGCTTGTAGTGCCTATATATATATAACAATAAAAAGAAAAATATATGAGCCCATGTACATGTCAAAGAAAAAAATTATATTTCCAAACCAATGTATGGATAAGAAAAATGAAGTTTATTGACAGTCGCAAACTATCAAATAGAGGTCAATCATCTTTAATTATAATTCATGCATCAATGCAAGACCAGTATATATATATATATGCATGCATTTCATACTCGGTTTTGAATAAGAAGATAGAAAAGTGGCACGACATTCTTTAATAGTTCCGTCCAAGAAAATATATATACAACATGGAGGCGACAAAATCCGCAAAGGAAGCATCCATTTTTCTTACGTTGCCTACATTAATTGGTAGCAAGTTGGGATTGGCTAGAGACGAAATATACAATGCGTTTTATCATAATAACTTGCGCCCTCCTCTCTCTCGGAAATTTTGACATTTTTCATGATGTTTGGACGTACGCTTGCGGTTTGTAATGTGAAATGAATAAGTGCTTGGAATTGTACATTTGTCTTTTTATCACCGTTTCTTTTCTATTAATAAGACATTGCCATAGCCATATATTTTTTTTTTCTATTTTTTTTTGTCTTTTTTTATTTTGGGGTATATCTTCTTTATTAGAAAAACTCCAAATTTAGCCGTAATTCATCAGCATCATCTTTTTCCTAGAATTTATTATTCATCCATATTTACATAGGAATTTTTTTTAAATTAGTATAACTAGGGATGAAGAATGAGATTGTCAAAAACTTAAATTTTAAACTTTTAAATGTCATTATATTTTTTTAAAGAATTGTGGTAATTGGGTCACAATGATGGTTGACATTTATATAGGGAATTGATTTATATAAGATTTTTTTTTTAAAATATGCATTGAATGAATTCAACATCTTATTTTCATTGTAAAATTGAAAATATTGTGCTAAATCATTTCCATTTACCTTACTATGTATGTTAAATTGAGATTTAACAACAAGGGCTTAGTTAATTAGTTAGTATTTATTAATTTAAAAACTTTGATTATGGGTCAACCTCAATAGTTCAAAATTTTATATATATTGTCAATGTATATAAAAAAAAAAAGATTTGGAATCCTAAAAATTCTGCCATTGATAATCTATCTAAATTCCTAAATACTAATTTTATGAATAATTTTGAAATTTAAACTTTTTTTTTAAATGGAAAAAAAAAAATCTTTCTCATCCTTTTAACTATCTCCTGTACGAAAATGCAAGACCCCCTACTCCCACTAAGAAGATAAATTATCATTTGGTCTTTTCACTATAAGGGTGTGTTCTTTGACATTCTGTAAATAGTTATAAATTGTTGATATTAATTAAATAAATTAAATGTTTTAGATTATAAATAATACTTATTATTAATTGTCAAATATTGATTATCAACTACTAATTATATTTAAACAACTTAAATAGCTAATCTAAATATTTTCTAAGTTGTTAGCATGATCAATAATTCAACTTCAAATAAAGATTGAAATGCAATAGAAATAAATTACGTACTAGAGTTTTGTTTAATATGATTATGAATTTTTATTTTGATTTTTAAAATTCAAATAATGAAAGTTAACAATTGGGAATCAAAATTAAAAATTAAAAATTGAAAATGACAATTTATTAGTTGTAAAGTTTTAAAACCTAAAACTTCAAACTTAATAGACTTATAGAATTTCTTAATTTTATTTTTAAATTTTTAAATTTAAAAATTTTTAAAAATCAAAACCAAAAACTTAAAATTTTAACTAAAAAATTTTAAATTTGAAATCTCAACCAAAATTTTGAAAAAGAGAATATTATTCTTTAGTTGTAAAGTTTTAAAACCTAAAACTTCAAACTTAATAGACTTATAGAATTTCTTAATTTTATTTTAAAATTTTAAAATTTTAAAATTTTTAAAAATCAAAACCAAAAACTTAAAATTTTAACTATAGCAAACGAATCAAAACTTTTATAAGGATTGAATTAGCAAAACTAGTCTTTTTACTAAACTTTAAATGCAATGGAAGAAATTAAAACGGATTCTATTATCTTTTTTACCATTTTATTTTATAAATTTATAATTGAGTGAAAGTGGGTTAGACATTAACCCTTAATGAGTAGTAATAAATAGGAGAAAGAGATAGTATAGTATCAAAATAACATTGCTTTCTTAGAGTGTGTACTATGTACAATGGGAATAATGAGAGAATTTATTTGGGCACTATATCATCATAATTAATATTATTTTACATAAATTTATATTTGTATACATTTAACTTTAAATGAAACACCTAATCAAACACTTTTTCTCTAATATATAAATTTGAACAAAACTTTCTTAAAAATTGTACAACATTATTTTTATTCAATTTACAATTAGGTATTCAAACTAAGAAAATTTGAAATGAAAAATTTTACCAAAGAAATATAGTATTTGGATGGCTATATCTAACGGTTGGCATAAAAAATGCACCGTTTAATATTGTGTCAGATAGTGTAAACTTTTCTTAAATATTTGTTTTAATAGATGCACGTTACGATTTTTTTTTCTTTTTATAGAATAACATTAAAGATGATATGTGTTGTATATACTCTTAATATGGTATGGAGTTTAATTAGTCTTGAAATATATAAAAAGTAAATAAAAATACTTTGATGATAAATAAAAAAATTGTTCTCTTTTTTTTTTCCTTGACATACAAGGAATTTATTTCGAATTTAAA